ATATGGCATTTGCTTCTATGCTGCTTGCTTCTGAATTGAAGTCTTGCTTGGATAGGCATTGTTGGCAGAGAATAGGTTACCTGTCTGTGTAATCTGGGGAAGCTATATATTATCAGCTGTTTTTTCTCTAGGGAGGAGTCTATACTCGCTTCAGATCTTGAAGAGACATTTCAAAAGCACTGGGCAGGGCCGGGAATGTGGCTACATGGCAGAGTGCTTACCTAGCATGCATGAAGCCCTGAATTTGATTCCTCGGTACCACATAAACAGAAAAGGCCAGAAGTGGTATTGGCTCAAGTAGTAGAGTGCTAGTTTTGAGCACAGAGAGGCTCAGGGACAGAGCCCAGGCCCTGAGTTCAAGCCCCAGGACCAGCCAAAAAAAGAAAAATTGGAGGGCTGGGAATGTGGCTTAGTGGTAGAGTGCTTGCCTAGCATACATGAAGGCCTGGGTTTGATTCCTCAGTACCACATAAACAGAAAAAGGCAGAAGTGGCATTGTGGCTCAAGTGGTAGAGTGCTAGCCTTGAGCAAAAGCAGCTCAGGGACAGTGCCCAGACCCTGAGTTCAAGCCCCAGGACTGGCGATTAATAATAATAATATGAGTGGATAAAGCCAGTGCTGGCAGCTCACACCTATAATCCTAGCTACTCAGGAGGATAACATCTGAGAATCATGGTTCAAAGCAGCCCAGGCAGAAAAGTCCATGAGATTCTTATCTCCACCAGAAAACCAGAAGTGGCACTGGCTTAAAGTGGTAAAGTGCTAGCCTTGAGCAAAAGAGTTGAAACAGTGCCCAGGCCCCGAGTTCAAGCCTCATGACCAAAAAGGGAAAAAAATTAATAACAAAAGACAAAATGATGGAAAATAAATAAAACTTAAAACTATATAATCACACCTGCACCAGCAAATTGTAGTGGCAGATTTATGATATTCTAGAAAAATGGTATTAAACATTGTGAAAACAAACATCAGTTATAAAATCTTAAGTGCCAAATGATATAATATCAAATGAACAGGAATAGTTACAACACACAAAAAAGAGAAATTGATCTATCTCCATGGTACACATCAGTAATTCCAGCACTCAGGAGTTTAAGGCAAAAGTGAGAGACCATTCTGAGCTACACAGCAAAACATTGTTATATATTTACATTTATGGGAAGTAGGATGGTGAAATCGGACTTGTAATTTCAAACTCGGCTACATAGAAGTGTATAGGTAGGCATATTTAGGTCCCAGGCCAGACCAGGCAAAAAAAGTACAAGACTCTATCTGAAAAATAAGACAGAAAAAGACTGAAAATGTAGCTCAACAAAAAATTTGTACAAACAAAATTTTAGCCAGGGAGGTAACTCAGTGGTAAAGTACCTGCTTAGCCAATATAAGGTCTTGAGTTCAAATCCCAGTACTATCCTAAAATATTTTATAGAAATTTTATTAACATAAGGCTCCAACCCTATACTTTTAAATTTGAATCTTTAACGTGTGTATGTGTACATGCACATGTGCTCCTAGGGCATGAATTAAGGGCATGGGCACTATCCTTGAGCTTTTTTTGCTCAAGGCTAGTACTCTTACCACTTGAACAACAGCTCCACTTCTGTTTTTGTTTTTGCTGGTGAATATGAAATAGTCTCACGGACATCTATAGCCATAATACCATGAAGGTGCCAATCTCATCTGATCGCAGTAGAGTCTCACCAACTAGCCCTCACATCACACAATGATCTTAGATCACAGCCTCTTTTTTTTTCCCCCTAGTCATGGGGCTTGAACTCTGGGCCTAGATGCTCTCCCTCTGCTCTTCAGCTCACGGTGAGTGCTCTTCCACTTGAGCCACAGTGCCACTTCCGGTTTTCTGGTGGTTTATTGGAGATAGTCTCACAGACTTTCCTGTCCAGGCTGGCTTTGAACCATGATCTCAGCCTCAGATCTCAGCCTGTTGAGTAGCTAGGATTACAGGCATGAGACCCTGGAACCAAGCTGAATCTTCTATCTTGAGTCTTCAATAAATATTTCCATGTGATCTCTCTTGTTATTGCCACCCACATCACTTCCTTTCAGTATCAGAAATCAAACCTCCCTGATCATAGCATTTGAAAAATAATGTAGAGATAAGTAAGAGTATGGATCTGGCATAAAACAGCACTCAATAATGTTAGCTCCAATATCTTTGTTATTAAATCCCTTACTGTGTATGAGTCAGAAAATGCAATCATCAATTTTATTATTAACTTTTTGTTGTTGTTCCAGTCCTTAGGCTTAAACTCAGGGTCTGTCCCTGAGCTTTTGTACTCAAGGCTAGAAATCTGCCACTTGAGCCAAAGCTCCACTTTCAGCCTTTTGGTTAATTGGAGATAAGTCTCACAGACTTTCCTGCTTGGGCTGGCTTTGGACTGCAACTCTCAGATCTCAGCCTCCTGAGTAGCTGGGATTACAGGCATGAACCACCAGTACCCAGCTTATTATCTTTTTTGTTTCAAGTTACTTACATGTTCCTAAGAAAACAACTCGATGGTAAGTAGGCTACTACTGTATTATCAAATATAGACAACCTTATTAATTTTCCACCTTTTCATATGTAGCTATAGATATATCCTAAATTAAATAAAGTTTAAAATTCATTTCATCCCTAATTGTCCTTTATTTTCAGTCATTGCTTGACACTCCTTTTCCAGGAATCATGAACATTTTAAAAAGAAGAAAGAATTTAAAAAGAAAAATACTGTGGCTCACACTGTAATCCTAGCTACTCAGGAGCGACAAATCTATTGAGATTTGAACCCAGCCCAAGCAAACAAATCCAAGAGACTCTTATCTCCAATTAAAAAGCCAGAAGTGGAGGTATGACTCACGTAGTAGAGAACCAGCCTTGAGTAAAACTAAGCTCTCAAGGCCCTGAGTTCCGGTTCTAGTACCAATATGCCTCATCCTCCTCCACCCAAAAAGGAGTAAGAAGGCAAGCATAATGACGCACATTTGTAATCCAAGAACTCAGAAAGAAGGTTGTGTAGGCAGATCATGAGTTTAAGGCCAGTATGAGCTACAAAGCAAGATTCTGTATGAAAAAACTAAGCAACAACCAAAGGAGTAAAATTTATTTTTATCAGGACCAAGCTTAATCTGGCATTAAGAAATTATAAGGAAGAATTAGATGCAGGAAGTGAAGTAATGGGTAAAAGTCAGATGCTTTCAGTCAGACTAGCCATTATTAATAGTCAGCCATCATTAATGCAAATAGGTAAATTATCCATCCTTACTGCAACTCAAGCATTTGAAGAGATTTTCAGTTGGCTAATTTTTTTTAGTCTGTTTACATCTATAAAGATGAACTTTCCCAAGTGTTTTGACAAGTTCCTTTGTAAATGTAAAATGAACAGCCTTCACTAACATGGAAATGAGTGTGTTTACAAGAACGAAAATAGTACTTTGTAACTGAAGAAGATAAAAGTAGGCTAATATGAGCTGGCTTTGTTACCCAACCATATAATCTCAGCTGCCTGGGAGATTGAAGCCACTAGATGAATTCACACCAGTTCAAGACCAGCCTCAGCAACAGTGACATTCAATCTCAAAAAACAAATAAAAAAAAATCCATTCTGTCTGGCATATTGATAAAGCTAAAGGATCTTGAACAATAGAGCTGGGCTGGGAAGGTGGCTCAGTGGTAGAGGGCTTGCCTTGCATGCTTGAGGCCCCGGGTTCGATTCCTCAGCACCACATAAGCAGGAAAAAAAAAAAAAAGCCGGAAGTGGCACTGTGGCTCAAGTGGTAGAGTGCTGGCCTTGAGCTGAAGAGCTGAGGGACAGTGCCCAGGCCCAGAGTTCAGGCCCCATGACCAGATCCCCCCACTTCCCCCCCCCCAAAAAAAGAGCTTTGAACTATTTCTTACAGTAAAAGGTGAAATTCCCATGTGAAGACACTTGCCCCATACTGAAAGAAGGCAACATCCTTAATGATATGTTGAAATAAGTTACGTAGAGATGTTAACTATTTTAAACCTCACATAATTTAATTGCTTTTTCACAACTATTATTTGTCCAATCTAGTGTATAAGAAACTGCTTCTTCAGATCTTTATTTTCTATGCATCCTCCAGTGTCATGCAAAACTTGCCCTCTATTTAAATGCCACTTTAACTCTGGGACTCAGCTGGGCATTAAGAAGACAAAAGGTGACAGGGTACCTGTGGCTCATCCTAGCTATTCAGGAGGCTGAGATTTGAAGAATGGGATCACAGACTGAAGCTAGTCTAGTCTCCATCTCCAATTAACCAGCAAAGAGCAGGGCTGGTTATGTGGCATAAGTGGTAGAGCACTAGCCATGAGCCAAGCTATCGTACTCTTCCCCACAACTTACGTAAAAATATGGCGGATTTCAAGGCAGGTGCCCTGCATTAGTTTAAAAGGGTGTACAGTCAAGTTTCTAACATTTAAACAGTACATTCCAACAAATGACTTTGCTACCTGCAGCGGTATAGAAAGTCCGCTCTGCGGCCTGGCGCTGGGTGGCTCACGAAAGTAAGCCTAGCCACTCAGGAGTCTGAGACCTGAGCATCACAGTTCGAAGCCAGCCAGGCCTTGGGCCAAGAAGCCCAGGGACGGAGCCCAGGCCGTGAGTTCAAGCCCTGGGAGTAGCCCAGAAAAGGAAAAAAATAAGAAGGGGGGAGTAGATGAGAAAGAGAAAATCCCACTTTGCCAACTTGAAAGCAAGCTTCAAGTTCCAAAGAAACAAGAGAACAAAATTCAGCAGTAAAGACAACTTGCTTGCTTTGTACTTCGTTCCAAAATACCTACTTCCGCGAAAAGAAACTAGAAGCGCAGGACTTAAATAAACAAACGAAGGCGCGCGCGTCTAAAGTGTCCCGGAGTCTTCTCGCGAGAAGACGTTCGCAGACCACGTCAGAGTAGAGATCCAGGTACGGAGCGGGGCGGGGGGGCGGGAATCTGTAGACGCGGACCATTTTAGTAGGCAGGACTTCCTCCGGAAGAGCGTGTTGTCTCAGAACGCCGACTCAACTTCCGGCTGGTTTACCTGTCGCGGTTCCTGTGGGGAAGCGGAGTGTGTTTGTGGCCATGGCTTGCGCCGCCGCGCGTTCCCCGGCCGACCAAGACAGGTGGGTACTGAGGAAGAAGGGGCTGGCTGGGAGGCCGGGGGGTCCGTCTTCGCACCCCTTGAGAATGGCTTCGCCCCTTGAGCCGGGCTAAGCGCCTGTCCGGGCCCTGGACCGTCCCCTCCCCTGACCGAGACCGGCTTTCCTGAGGGGAGTTGCAGCTGCAACCGCTCTCAAGGCCCGGAGAGTCCGAGTTGAGGCCCTAGGGCTCGGGGTGCTCAGAGGACACGTTCCGACTTAGACATGGACTCAGTGAGTGTTACATTTAGAAAGGATTGCTTGGTTTCCTGAATGGCTTTTAATACCTCTGACAAAGTGCCTTATGGTTTTGTTTTGTTTTTGTCGGTCATGGGGGCTTGAACTCTGGGCCTGGGCGCTGTCCCTCAGCTCTTCAGCGCAAGGCGAGCGCTCTGCCACTTGAGCCACAGCGCCACTTCCGGTTTTCTGGTGGTTAATAGGAGATAAGAGTCTCACGGCCTTTCCCGGGCTGGCTTTGAACCGCGATCCTCAGATCTCAGCCTCCTGAGTAGCTAGGATTACAGGCGAGAGCCACCGGCGCCCGGCACCTACGTGTTTTTATGTAAGCGAGTGAGCACCCATCCTACGCAACTGTTTAACCGGCAGCTATGTCGAATGTAAGAGTTGTCACGTTGATTATTTTGTTCCCGTTATTCATTTTGGGCCTTTTCTAATTGGTGATGGGTTTTTGCGGTGGTGAATAGTCTTCTTTCTAAATGAGTTAAGACAATTCAGAGAAAAGCTATTCATCAAATAATGGTCATAGATGTACTTTCAATGAAGATAAATTGATGTAATCTATATAATTAAACAACTATGCTTTTTCTGTGGCAGGTTTATTTGTATCTATCCTGCTTACTTAAATAACAAGAAGACCATCGCAGAAGGAAGGCGGATTCCCATAAGTAAGGTAAGCAGTAGCTGGTAGACTTCTGAAGGGTTCCAAGAGGTTATCCTGTTAGGATCACAATAGATTCTTTTACTCATTGCATTTCTTTAAGGTCTGAGAACTGCAGCCAAGACTTGGAGTGCTTTCATTAATATTGGTGAAACCAGAAGGGAGCTATTGCATAACTGAAGTGATTTTTGTTTTTAAAATATCTCAGTGAACCAGTACTTGTAACATGAAAGCTCGGTGTGTGTGTGTGGGGGTGTGTGTGTGTGTGTATTTTACACTTTTGTTTTAAAAAGTACTAGGAATTGAACTCTACCACTTGAGCCACACACTCCAATCCTTTAATTTTTCATATCGTCACCTGGTTTTGTCCTTGTATTTCTGTCTCTGAGTTGTTAGAATAACAAATATATGCTAATCATGCCTGGCCCTTTACACTTCTTTCTTTTCGATGGGTCATGGGGCTTGCACTCAGGGCTAGGGCACTGTCCCTTAGCTTTTATGCTCAAGACTAGCACTCTACCACGTTAAACCTCAGTGCCACTTGCGATCCTCAGATCTCAGCCTCCTGAGTAGTTAGGATTACAGGCATGAGCTACTGGCACCTGATCCTTTACACTTTTTATTTATTTATTTTGCCAGTCCTGGGACTTGAACTCAAGGCTTGAGCACTGTCCCTGAGCCTCTTTGTGCTCAAGACTAGCTCTCTACCACTTGAGCCACAGCACCACTTCTGGCTTTTTCTGAATAGTTTATTGGAGATAAGAGTCTCACAGATTTTCCTGCCTTGTTGTTGCCTTTGAACCATTCCTTAAACCCAATCTACTAAGTAGCTAGGATTACAAGTATAGCTACTGGCACCCAGACATTTGCAATTTTTTGTTTGTTTTTGCTGGTCTTGGGGATTGAACTCGGCTTGGGCACTGTCTCTGAGTCTCTTTGTGCTCAAGGAGAGCACTCTACCATTTGAACCAAGGCACCACTTCTGGCTTTGTCTGAATAGTATATTGGAGAAAAAGTCTCACAGACTTTCTTGCCCAGGCTGGCTTTGAACCAGATCCTTAGATCTCAGCCTCCAGAGTAGCTAGGATTATAGGTGTAAGCTACTGGTGTCCTGCTCCTTTATACTTCCTTTTTTTTTTTTGGTCGGTCTTGGGGCTTGAACTCTGGGCCTAGGCACTGTCCCTCAGCTCTTCAGCTCAAGGCTGAAGGCTTGGAGCTCAAGGCTCTACCACTTGAGCCACAGCAACACTTCAGCTTTTTCTGCTTATGTGGTACTGAAGAATTGAACCCAGGGCCTCATGCATGCAAGGCAAGCGCTCTACCACTGAGCTACCTGCTCAGCCCACCTTTATACTTCTTCTTCTTTTTTTTTTTTTGGGGGGGGGGGGGCCAGTCGTGGGCCTGAACTCTGGGCCTGGGTGCTGTCCCTCAGCTCTTCAGTTCAAGGCTAGTGCTTTACCACTTGAGCCACAGCGCCACTTCTGGCTTTTTTCCTTTTTGCTTATGTGGTGTTGGGGAATCGAACCCAGGACCTCATGCATGCAAGGCAAGCGCTCTACCACTGAGCCACCTTCCCAGCCTACCTTTATACTTCTTAAACCAAAGATTATGTCAGTCTTAATAAAAGAAATTAAAATGATGGCATAGTACAGTAGTGTCCAGAATGCAGTTGCAGTTTTTAAAGAATATGTGGAAAGTGAAGCCTTAAGTTTTATCATTTTTCAAAAGAATAACCCTAATTTAAAATTAATACTTTTTAAAAGTAGAATAAGGAGGGAGATACCCTAAGGATGTATGTATCTTAAAGAGTACATTCTTGAACATATGACAGCTTTAAAGTAACTTTGAAACAACTAATTTGTTTTGTTTTGTTATTTTGGGTGTAGTGGGATTTGAATTCCGGGCCTCGGCATTGCCCCTTAGTTTTTTTACTCAAGACTGGCTGGTGGAGCTACAGCTCCACTTCTGGTTTTTTGATGGTTAATTTGAGGTAAGAGTCTCACAAACCACAGACTTTCCTGCCCAGGCGATTTTTAAAGTATCATCCTCACATCTCAGCCTCCTGAGTAACTAGGATTACAGGTTCAACTCAGCCTCCTGAGTAACTAGGATTACAGGTTCAATCTGCGTGCATGAGTGCGTGCGTGCGAGCTTGCGTGCGTGCGTGTGTGTATGTGTGTGTGTGTGTGTGTGTGTGTGTGTGTGTTTTAACTCAGGACCTCTAACTGGGCCTTTTCATTCAGATGTAGCATTCTGCCTCTTGAACCATTCCTCTACTTCTGGCATCTACTGGTTAGATGGAGATAAGAACTTCTTGGGTTTTCCTACCCAGGCTGATTCCAAACTGTGATCCTCAAATCTCAGCCTCCTCAACTACAGATTATAGGTGTAAGCCACCAGCATACAACTCAAATTCACCATTTTTGTATTATTTAATATCTCTCATTGCACTTTAGTACGTAAAAGAAAGTACTCTGGGGCTGGGAAGGTGGCTCGGTGGTAGAGCGCTTGCCTTGCATGCATGAGGCCCTGGGTTCGAGTCCTCAGCACTACATAAGCAAAAAGAAAAAAGCCAGAAGTGGCGTTGTGGCTCAAGTGGTAGAGCGCTAGCCTTGAGCTGAAGAGCTGAGGGACAGCACCCAGGCCCAGAGTTCAGGCCCTACGACCGGACCCCAAAAAAAAAAACTACTCTGCTGCCTCTGAGGAAAAGAGAGATACTTAAGCACTTGATCAGAATAATGCCCAACATCAAACCAGGGTGGCAGGTTCTTGATAATAAACTCAGATTCTTCCTGAAGGACAGAATAATTTTTTTAAAAACTTTATTGATATATAGAAAACATATTGTCTTTTATTAATTCATAAGTAGCTAATACATCTTTAATTACTAATTTTTACTTAGAACATATATCTGAATAACCAGCTCCCAAATTAATAACAACAAAAAAACATTATCAGCATGCAGGAAGAATCCTTTATATCTTCTCCCATGCACTGTCCCCTCACAAATGAGGGTACCTATTATCCTGGTTTCCAGGATACTCTGCTGCTTAGTTTTGAATTTTTTTATCTTTAATTTTTTTTTGCCGTTATTATAATGATGTTGGACAGAGGAATTACAGTAACATAGATAAGGTAAAGTGTGCATTTGGTTTTTGTTATTTTGGTCCTGGGGCTTGAATTTGGGACCTAGGTGCTGTCTCTGAGCTATTTTGCTCAAGGCTAGTGGTCTACCAGTTTGAGCTACATCATTGCTTCTGGTTTTCTTAGGGAGATAAGAGTTCTACAGACTTTTCAACCTGTGCTGGCTTTGAACTGTGATGCTCATATCTCAGCCTCCTGAGTAGCTAGGATTATAGGAATAAACCACCAGCGCCCGACTAAGAATACATTCCTTTTTGAACAATGTCACCTCTTCCCTCACTCCCAGTTTTTCCCTCCCATTTGCTTTTGGTTTTAATTTATATATCTTATTTTTTTCACTGAATTTTAGGCTTGGATCTATGTTTTTTTAAATTGAGATTAGGTAATTACATAAATTTCACATATTTCACAGTATTGTGGAATAGTGATACTTCCTTAAAGTCACACATTTTAACCTTCACAAGGCAAATTGTCATTATCATGGTCTATAAAGTTTGTGAATTTTATGAGCTTTGACAGTGCAATTATTTCTTCCACATCAGGTGATATTTACATTTCTTTATTTTTGCTTAGTGTAAGTTGTTTTCTCTTTCCCTCTCATTCCTCCCTTCCCATGGATCTGTGTTTTTAAGTGTAAATTTTGTTTTGATGCTGAAGGTTGAACCCTGAGCCTCATATATACTAAGCATGTATGTACTCCATTCTGTCCACATCCCCTCCAGCATCTGTTGTTATTAGAGTTCTTGATAATAGCCATTCTAACTGGGGTGAGGTGGTATTTCAATGTTGTTTTGATTTGCTTTTTTTGGGGGGGAGGGGGCCTGAACTCTGGGCCTGGGAGCTGTCCCTCAGCTCTTCAGCTCAAAGCTAGCACTCTACCACTGAGCCACCTCAGCCCCTGATTTGCATTTCTTTTATGGCTAGAGAGGTTGAGCATTTCTTCATGTGTCTATTGGCCATCCTTCTTTCCTCTAAGCATGTACTCCATTACTGAGGAATACTCTACTCCTTTGAGTGTAGTTTAATTCTCATTGCTATATAGCAAGCTTCCCAACAGCAGTATCATTGACATTTTGAGCCAGATAATTCTTCATTGTAAAAGGCTATCCTGTCTATTTTAAGATGGCTAGTACTATATACTAGATAACAACCCCCTTCTTACTCAGTTGTTTCCAAAAATGTCTCCCAAGCATTACCAAATGTCCTGAGATAGGGGATGAAACTCTCTACTAACTACTACTGCTCTATTGTATTGTATTTTTTGTATTGTGTTATGTGAATATACCACAATCCTTTCTTTTGTTGATTGTAAATTGGGTTGCTTCTAATCTTCACCTATTACAAAGAATACTCTAGAACTATTCTTTTGGTGAACTTAATTTCTTCATTTCTGTTGAATATATTCCCTGTAGAATTGAAGGGCTATAAGCATGTGCTCAGCTTTAATAGATACTACTAGTTTTCTAAAGTAGTTGCACGTACATTTGTTTAACCATTTAATAGTGAGCTCTTATTACATTGAAAGTAATTCTGATAGGTTGTGGGGAATATACTGACAAAGTCTGACATTATCAAAAAATAAATGTACTCATTACCTGACTTATAAAACTTTAACCCCTCAGTTTATAATAACAATTTTTGGAGTTTTCTAGGTGCTGTGGAATATATTGACCAAGTCCTTTCTCTCATGACATTTATGTTCTGTTAAGAGAGAGGTTGAGCCAGTACTGGTGGCTCATGCCTGAAATCCTAGCTACTCAAGAGGCTGAGGTCTGAGGGTCATGGTGTGAAGCCAGCCCAGGCAGAAAAGTCCTATGAAACTCTTATCTCCAATTAAACACTCAAAAACTGGAAGTGGCACTGTGGTTCAAAATGGTATAAGGGCTAGCCTTGAGCAAAAAGAGCTCAAGAATAGCACCCCTACCCTGAATTCAAGCCCCACCGCCATCAAAAAAAAGAGAGAAAGAAATCGCCACATCAGTGCTGTCATTCTTAGGAATTAAAAAATTACAATTAAAACAACTCAGGATGCAGTTTTACCTAGGGTATAACCCTGGCCAATTTAGGATTTAGTTTGTGGGGGTTTTTTTCCCTTCTTTTTTGTGGAGGGTGGGGTGGTTGTTCGTGGGGCTTAAATTCTGGGCCTGGTCATTCTTCCTACACTCTTCAGCTCAAGGCTGGTGATCTACCACTTGAGCCACTGTGCCACTTCTGGCTTTTTCTGTTGTGGTGCTGAGGAATCAAACCCAGGGCCTCATGCATGCAAGGCAAGCACTCTACCACTGAGCCACATTCCCAGCCCTTAGCCTGTGTTTTTATCTTCGTAGTTGAAATGACTTAACCCAACAGTATAACACTTACCACTTAAAACTACTTAGTATTTTTGTTTGTAACTATTCAGGCTGTCGAAAACCCTACAGCTACAGAGATTCAAGATGTTTGCTCAGCAGTTGGACTTAATGTATTTCTTGAGGTATGATATGATTCTTTATCATTTTTCATATTTATCTTATTGGTATAACTTTCTTAAAGCCTATTTTTGTTTTATTCATGTTAGAAAAATAAAATGTACTCTAGAGAATGGAATCGTGATGTTCAATACAGAGGCAGAGTCCGGGTCCAGCTCAAACAGGAAGATGGCAGTCTCTGTCTTGTACAGTTCCCATCACGTAAGTGTTTCTGTTTTATAATGAATATCTAAGATTCAGAGGTAGGTTAATCCTCTGTAACACACAAGAAAAAATGGTTTTAATTAACTTTTGTAAGTTATAAATGAATTTTCATTGTACAAGTTAATTTAGAGAAAGGACTACTGCTAATGAAAAAAGGTGCTTCTCTAGGTTAAGAACCTCTTTGAGCCAGGCATTGGTAGCTCATTCCTATAATTCCCTAGCTACTTAAGACACTGAGATCTGAGGATCATGGTTTGAAGTCAGCCCAGGCAGAAAAGTCCATGAGAACCTTGCCTTCAATTAACTACAAAAAAAAAAGCCAGAATTGATGCTGTGGCTTAAGTGGGTAGAGCACAACTAGCGTTGAGCAAAAGAAGTAGGAACAGCGCCCAGGGCCTGAGTTCAAGCCCTAGGTCTGTCACAAAAACAAAAATACCTCTTTGAGGATGTGATGAAACCTAATGGTTCTCAAAAGAAATTGTAATGTGAACATTTTCATAAACTTCTAGAAGGACATCATTGCTCCTAGGTTGAATATAAAATTATCAGGCTGGGAATGTGGTGTAGTGGTAGAGTGCTTGCCTAGTATGCATGAAGCACTGGGTTCACATGCTCAGTAATACATAAACAGAAAAATTCGGAAGTGGCACTGTGGCTCAAGTGGTAGAGTGCTAGCCTTGAGCAAAAGAAGCTCAGGGACAGTGCCCAGGCCCTGAGTTCAAACCTCAGGACTGGAAAAACAAACAAATAAACAAAAAACAGTTGAAGAACTTGATCTGCAATTAACTGTTTATTGATCATCTGGACATAAGAGTAAGCTATGTTATAGCCTAATGACCTTTCAACTTTGTTACTAGGTAGAGATCCTGTTTCTATAGGTTAAGATATAATGATACTCTTGATTTGGTTTCTAATTTGCTATATTTACATATTTTCTACTGATCTTCAAGCTGATGATTAGACCAAGAACTTTTATTTTAATCTTCACGTTTTCCATTTTAAGTGTTTTTAGCATTGTTCTCACTCAGTACATTTTCTCCAGCAGAGGCACCCACTTAGTCAAGTTACTGTCTTCAGTCATATTTAAAATAACTTCCCATTTTTTTATGTGATCCCTTCTTGTACCTAATGATACATTAATGACCTTTCATGTTTACAACACTAAGCCTACCTTCTGGTTCCTAGGTAAGTCAGTAATGTTGTATGCAGCAGAAATGATACCTAAATTAAAAACAAGGACACAAAAAACAGGAGGTGGTGACCCAAGTCTTCAACAAGGAGAGGGAAGTAAAAAGGGGAAAGGAAAGAAGAAGAAGTGATCTGTCATGAACATCAGATACATGGTCCTACTGTAAGAGACATGAATCGAGGTTTCTTTTGTTCACTCCATTTAACTGAACTATGAACATTTGTGCCTCTCATCTTCATCATTGGAGTTAACAGTGAAATAAATTCACATCAAAAGTTTGTGGTTAACTTTTATGCAGTATAATTTTTTGTTTTTGTCTTTCAATGGGTTCTTGTGGAAGAAAGAAGACTTAATGGACCATGGACTTTTCTAGAAGTTACTTGAAATTCTGTATTTGTTATCCTATTGTCAACATTTAATTTCACATAGTAAGTTTAATAAGATTTGAAATACTTGTTTTGTCTTAAGTTAATAAAACAAAAACTTTAAACTGGCTTTTGTAGCTTTTGCTTATGAAGTAATTACTGCAAATAGAAGAGAATAAAATAGATTAAAATAGGCTGTGTAAACTTGGAAGGTATAAGCCTAAAACAGAAGAAAGGGACTTTAGGCTTCTGAGATGGGGTCAATGAAGTCAGTTTGTAGATCATATTCAGTCAAATTGTGTAGTTGCTAGGTTTTTTTTTTTGTCCTATGGAAAATCCTGGGTTCTAAGGTGGTTTTTTTTGTTTTGTTTTTTGTTTTTTGGGTCCGGTTGTGGGCCTGAACTCTGGGCCTGGGCGCTGTCCCTCAGCTCTTCAGCTCAAGACTAGCACACTACCACTTGAGCCACAGAGCCACTTCCAGCTTTTTCTGCTTATGTGGTGCTGAGGAATCGAACCCAGGGCCTCATACATGCAAGGCAAGCGCTCTACCACTGAGCCACCTGCCCAGTCCTGGGTTCTAAGTTTTAAATTTGCCTTTATTTATTTATTTATCTATTGTCCATCTTGGGGCCTGAACTCTGGGCCTGGGTGCTGTCCCTCAGCTCTTTAGCTCAAGGCTAGTGCTCTACCACTTGAGCCACAGTGCCACTTGCAGCTTTTTCTGCTTACGTGGTCCTGAGGAATCAAACCCAGGGACTCATGCATGCAAAACACTCTACCACTGAACCACCTTACCAGCCCAAATTTGCTTTTTTTTTGTACTTGTGTTCTAGTTCTGGGGCTTAATCTCTGGGCCTGGCCTCTGTCCCTGAACTCTTGTCCTGAAGACTAACATTCTACCACTTGAGCCATAATTTCACTTCCAGAAGCTTTTTGGTGGTTACCTGGAGATAGTCTCATGGACTTTCCTACCTGGGTGGGCTTTGAACCTTAGCCTCCTGAGTAGCTAGGATTACAGGCATGAGCCACTTACACCCAACACAAATTTGATTATTTTTTAAGTAATTTACCTGTGCTTTGGCAGCTTGAAGTACTTCTCTGAAGAAACTAAATTGGGAAGGTTCTGAATTCATTTCAAAGCATTCCTGAAAGTGGTCATTTTGAGCTGTCTATTTCTATTCTTCTGAGGCCTAGTTTAGCTTTTCCTTGAGTTCTGTGAGCTACCTCAGATATTCCTAATCTGTTATTTTTGTTTTAATTACTTGTGATAAAAAAAAAATCTCAAATGATGTCAAAATAGGTAAATCCAAGGTTGCACAGTTAAATGACATTACACAGCCAGGCTATATGAAAAGGATCCATTGATATGCAAAAAAAAATTTTATGTGGGCATGGTGGCCACATAATTGTAGCTTCAGCTATTTGAGAGGCTGAGTGGGAATATTATTTGAATCTAGGAGTTTAAGACCAGTATTAGCCTCATAGCAAGACCCAGACTCAGAAAAAAGAATGCTTGTGTAATTTTTGTCATGCAGAATTTTTTTGTTACACATTTTATAGTGAGCATCATATACCAGCTTATATGAATAAAATTCCAGGTGTGGGGAGCATATGTAATACATGGTTCAGAGTTGCCCCTTTGGAAAAATAGATCGCTTAATGAATATTTGTAGAACAGAAAATAATGAGGAATTTAAAGATTTATTATTTTAGGAAAACACCAAATTCAAAGGAGGCTGTTATAGGTATTGGTTCAATTCCTCTTTGTGTCTGTACTCCATTAACCATAACGTGTTTGACATTCTCCAATTCAGCATCTCAAGCTTCTAAAAGGGTTGAGACAGCACTAAACACTTACTGAGGTCAATGTGGGAAGAATGGCTGTTCAAGTTACTTATGTCCACCTGTAAAAGAGTCAAGCCAGGCACTGATGGCTCACACCTGTTATCCCAGCTTCTCAGGAGGCTGAGATATGAGGATTGCAGTTCCAAGCTAGCCCAGGCAGGAAAGTGTGAGACACTTAATCTCCAACCACCAAAAAGCCAGAAATGAGCTGTAGCTCAATTAGTAGAATGCTAGCCTTGAGCATAAGCTCAGGAACAGCTCCCATGCTCTGAGTTCACACCTATTAACAATGTTTTGCTGCTTATGTAAGTCTATAAAGGAACTTATTTACTAGTTGGGTGAAAAATGGAATCTTTTTCAGTAAGGTTGAGTATATGTTGAAAGACTATTTTGTGTCATTTTAATGAAATATGCTTAGATCCTTTGCCACTTTTCAAGGATTGTGTTGTTACCAAAATTATCCACAATTTGAAACACTGGCTAGTTTTGTTTCAATTTTAGACATTAACTTCCCTTTGTAAGAGAGGATGCTTTTATTTTCTTGCCTCTCTCATTATATACATGCACAATTCCCATACTTCTCTAATACATCATAATTTTAATCACTATTCATAGTTATATTACAATATGTTCTATTCATAGACTGAGTCATGTGGTACCTTTGCTACTTAAAGGTTTGGTCAAGTCCTACAGATTTTGTTCAGTGATAGCTCATTTGTCTAATATTTCAAGGCACTCTGTTTTATCCCTAGCACCCAAATAAGTAAAAGTTAAATATGCACTAACCTCTCAGAGCTTGTGAAAAATGTAGTTGTCACCGGTCCAGACTAGAATTCAAATATACTTTTAATGAGATTCCCTCAGATGATTCTTAAGCATATTAGAATTTGAGAAACACTATGATATGTTGTGTTTGTTTTCTGAATTTACTTTTTGAATTTTTCAGTTTTTAAAATGTTTATCACTAATTTTAATTTTTTTCAGTTGTCACAATGTCCTTTCAAAAAGTTTGTACACATCATGTACTTTGTTAATTTCATCTTTGAAAGGAGCTCTACCTGCCTCTAAACTCTTGTCTATCAGTTCTAATGCTACAGCTTCATTGTGAGTTCACTCTTCATCTTCTGGAACATGACTCAATTCACTGCTGTTTAAGAGATCTTATAGCCCATGTATTCCTCTTTCTTGTGTTGTGTTGTTTGATGTAGCTTCTCGTTATCTGCTTGAGAGAAAAATGTGAGGGAGGAAAAAGTCCTAGACCTTGAATGTCTGAAAATATTCTATTTATATAGTTGACTAGGTGTATAGAGTTACAATAGGAAATCATTTCAGAATTTTAAGGAAATTACTTCATAGTCTTCTGACACCTTATAGCTGAAGAATCCCACAACAGTATGTTTCAGTACATTGTGAGCCCTCAAAGTGGAAACAGTCATTCTTCAGTTCTGGATTTGTTGCGGGGGGGCGGGCCGGCAGAGGGTGTGCTAGTACCGGTAGGGCTTCAACTCAGGGCCTCAGTGCTGTTCCTAAGATTTTTCCCTCTAGGCTGCACTCTTTCAACTTGGACCACAGGTCCACCTTTGGCTTTTTGGAGTCTCATGGACTTTCCTACCTAGGCTGGCTTCAAACTGGTCCTCAAGTCTCAGCCTTCAGAGTAGCTAGTACAGGTGTGAGCCACCAGTGCCCAGCTCAGTTCTGGACATTTTGATTGAAAATTTTAATTATTATAGAGGTGTTGTACAAAGGGATTACATTTCATACTGTGTCTTCTGTTCCCTCATTCCCATTCCTTCCTCCTATCTCCACTCACAAATTATATTAGTTTCCTTTCATCAACTCCATTGATTTTTTTTCTCCCCTTTGTAAACTTTCTTGAAACTCCTTATTTGAATAATAGCCCTACTGAACTACTTATCTAAACTTTATCATCTACAAGTTTTCTTCCACTAGCATTCTAATTTCATGGAAATTTCTAGTGCAATTTTTTTATTGTTTCTAAATTCCTTTCTCTTCCTGTTTTTGTTTTTATTTTTCCACATTAAATAGTTTTACTTTTTTTTTTGCCGGTCCTGGTGCTTGGATTCAGCATGGGTACTGTCCCTGAGCTTCTTTCTGTTCAAGGCTAGTGTCCTGCCACTTGAGTCACAGTGCCACTTTTAGCTTTTTTCAGTACTTTATTGGAGATAAGAATCTCATGGACTTTCTGCCCCAACTGGCTTCAAACCACTATCCTCAGATGTTAGCCTCCTGAGTTGCTAGGATTACATGCATGAAGCCACCAGTACCCAGCTTCATTTTTTTTTAAGCTCCTTCCTACTATTAAGGTGCTCTTTGCTTATATCTGATATCTGGCATGATTATGCTGACAGACCAAGGAATAGTTAGACTAATGCCCCAATAAAAATTATCCACATTCTAATTCCAAAAAACCATAAATGCTGCTTTGGGTTGCAGAAAAGGCTTTGTAAATGTTATTTAAGACTCTGTGGGGACAGGTGCCAGTGGCTCACTCCTGTAATCCTAGCTATTCAGGAGGCTGAAATTTGAGGATCACAGTTCAAAGCCATCCCAGGCAGGAAAGTCCGTGAGACTTATCTCCATTAAAGCACTAGAAAACGAAGTGGCGCTGTGGCTCAAGTGGTAGAGTGCTCGCCTTGAGCTGAAGAGCTCAGTGACAGTACCCAGGCCCAGAATCCGAGCCCCATGGCTCACACACACACACAGACTTTTGTGGGGGAGAAGGGAAGGGGAAACAAAGGAGGAGGATACAATGCTTAATAAGAAATGTACTAGGGGCTGGGAAGGTGGCTCAGTGGTAGAGCGCTTGCTTTGCATGCATGAGGCCCTGGGTTCGATTCCTCAGCACCACATAGGCAAAAAGAAAAAAGCCAGAAGTGGCGCTGTGGCTCAAGTGGTAGAGCGCTAGCCTTGAGCTGAAGACCTGAGGGACAATGCCTAGGCCCAGAGTTCAGGCCCCACGACCGGACCAAAAAAAAAAAAAAAAAGAAATGTACTCATTATCTTGCCCATGTAATTGTAACCCCTCTGTACAGTATTTTCACAATAAAAAAAAAAGAAGAAAAGAAGACTTTTTGGTTGGAAGCTGAGTACAGTGGCTCAAGCCTGTAACCCTAGTTACTTTGAAGGCAAGGATTGGGGGCTTAAGGTCCAAAGACAGCACATGCTAGACAAAAGTTCCCAGGTTCCATCTTTTTTTTTTTTTTTGTCAAGGTTATGTAGAGGGATTACAGTTGTATAGGTAAGGTAATAAGTATATTTCTTTT